AAAAAAAGTTCACTTTTTCATTGCAGCTTCAGGGTCCCCTGGGGTAGTGTAGCAAAACCCCACCTTCAAAAAAACATAAAAAAAAAATCCCTACTGGGGTTCGGGGCCGCCTGGATTTTCCGGGTGGACCCCCCTGGGCCCGCCCGCCCGGTCAGGCGGCGGCCCAGCCTAGGAAAGCAATCCATTCATTATTATATTCCGAAACATTCAATTTGAGGCCGGGGACCTCACAATTCGACCCGGAATTATCTTGGCAGCACTAGCCAGTTTCGCTTATCAGGTTACCGATTGCATTCAAGTATCTGCTAACCCATACACAGATCTTCAAGAATTGATTTGTCTGATTCTTCACCAACAGAGACTAGCTCCGAGTGCACTGAACTTCTGATAACACTAACTATTATATTCCACCCTGGGAGTCGGCCGGTCTTTCGCCTTAGAGTAGCCTAGCTACTCTTAACAAGTATTACAGAGGCCTGCCACCGCCTGACACCAGCCTGAGCGACCGATTGGACCGTGTCCCCGGGGGGGAACGTGACACTCTACCCTCCACCTGAGTGGTCAACTGTGACCCGAACCCTGAACCGAGTGTCCTGGTTCTGAAACTAGTCTCTCATAATCCTACCCGAGCGACGATCCCTACATTAAGTTTAACATCACTCACAATCCTAATCCCAAGCATAAAAACGAAAAAAAGAGAAAAAAAAATGTACTGTGGCCATACATACAGCCACAGAGAGCCAACGGGTGAACCGCTGGCAGAAAGAAAAGGGTGAGAAAAACAAGTCGTGATATGACTATATTACTATATATAACTGCCCGGTAAACCGCAGGCAGAAAGGGAGAAGAGGACAACCAACAAGGGGCTGTAACAGACTGTTCCATCAGAGTTTTACAGACTCATCATGAGGCTGTATAGAAATACAATCTAATGCATGCATCCATGAGGCATGTAGTGTCAGAAAGGAATGACCACACACTTGGAAAACAAATGTGGAATGAATACACGTACGAAGTGCGTCCCCGTGTCTTGGGGGGCGGGGTAATAGGAATAGGCTGCAACCCCCTTCTTTCTCTAACTGGAACTCGAGTTCTGCTTGCTGGGGTTGCCCCCCCCAGAATAGAAGGGGCCTTCGTGTCTTCTGAAAAAAAAAAAAGAAAAAAAAAAGACGAAGTTACAAACAGCTATAGAACAAGATTCCTCACCTGATTGTCTCGGCAGAATACCGATAAAGACCAGACAGAGGGGTCTCCAGAACACCGCTCTCAACGTCCACATCTCATTAGCTAGCGCTCATCACCGCAGACGGTGGCTGCTAAGGAAAATTCCACTGCTGTATCTGATACTTGCTCCTTGATTAGGATGAGCATGGCACCATACCCGTGCAAGCATAACTTTTTCATGCACAGAATGGACAAGGGCTATACAAGCAACACACTCCATATCTTTCATGCGAACCCTACGTCCATGCGCAGGAGGGCGGCTGGGCAAGCATAAATCTGCGCTAACAGCAAAATTCACGCGCTTTGAGCCGCGCTTTCCTACGCAAGACATCAGAGGTTCACCTTGAGTGTTAAGCTCCGTACCCGTGCCTGGCTTCCAAGTTCAACCTGTCTTGCATTAACACAAGCTGGATGGGCAAGCATAGATCAAGAGATCAAGACCGATGGCCAAAAGGTCCTGAAAACTGCATCCCTACATCATAGGTCATCGAGCCTTTTTACCGTGTACACCCATCACGAAAGTGATTAGCAACTTCAGTCCCTCTAGAACTTGCAAACCCAACCGAGTCGTCGTTCGTTCAGAGTTAAGTTCCAAGTCAAACTTCAAACCTGATTCAGAGAACAGCTCGACAGTGCGTACCTGATTTAGGCAAAAGGTTAATACACAATGTGTCCGGCCGGGAAGGTGAAAGCGTAATGGAGATCCACAGATCAAACCTGATTCAGCAATCAGTTCATCCATATTGTTCAGGGAGACGGGGGGGGGGGGGAGAGGCGAAAGCACAGTGAGGCAAAACCACAGTAAGGTAAAAGTGTAGCAAGGTGAAAGTGTAGTGAAGCGAAAGCGAAACGAAGTGAAAGTGTGGTAAAAGGCGAAAGAGTAGCGAATGCAAATCAGTGACCATGATTCCTGCCCCACCCTGCACAGCCTACAGCTGATCACCTATTTTTGGCCTCAGATCGTCGAGAGAATCCGTCTGAAGTTCCGAGGGGGTGGAGTTGCGAGGCAGGGAGGTGGTGTCCGGAGCTCCGAAGGGTGGAGTTCTGAGGCAGGGAGGTGCCAGTTCCCGATAACGACAAAAATCCATTGCAGTTCCGAAGAGTAGACTTCCAAGGCATGAAGGTAGCAGCATGTCCTCGTCCATGACCCACCCGCATGTCCAACACAAGCTGAAACCATCGGTGAGAAAGCGGCAGCAGTGAAGAACATAAGGCCCAAAGCTAACGGCTAATAAGTTTCACATGCATTATCAATGGGCGTAGCTCAGTGGGTACACCCATGAACTGCCAAAATCCAGACCAGAGTTCGAATCCAGATCGAACTAGATGAATGCGATTCGATGAAAAAAAAGGATCTGCATGCATTTCTGAATCTTACATAGCCTATGATGCCCGACAGCAGGGAGACCAAACATACACAAAGGCTCCAGAATGAAGAACCAACGGTCCTCACCGTCGGATGGGCATTCTCAACAAGCGAGGCGAAGACCATTAACAGGCTGTCTAACAGGCAAGCACTTCGAACTTAAGTAGACTTGACCAGAGGCGACCAGAGGGTTCTCAAGCCATACCAGCCGACGCTTGGCAATTCGCGGGGTGCACCGCACCTGACCACCTTACGACCGGATTCAGTCAACAAAGATCATGATTTGCGTATATACCCTTTCGCTTGCTTAAGTACTTGTTCTCCCAATTTAGTGAATCTCGCTTCGCTTTGCCCACGCAAAGGCTAGGCCCCTCTGGTCATATTCTGTACACAAGCTGGCTCCTCCCTGGAGGAGGTCTGCAAGACATCCAGCACCAATCAATCGAACAGCACTGGAGCCTGGTACAGAATTATTATGGCTGTAACACTTCTAGGCGCATTTTGAGTGCCCCTGGTCGCATTTTGAATCCAAATGGCCACATTTTAAATCCACCTGGCCTTGTTCACAGCAGCCTCGTGTATGTACCTATATTACGGCCTTAAAAGAGTCTTGGTCAGTCTGATCAGCCAGCTGTCGTCGGGACTGGTTGCCTAATTGGTTACTTAACTTGATGAGATGTTGGCTTTGCCAATGGCATTGGCAGGAAAGGCACCGTACCTATCATTATGTCCCCGCTCACAGAGCAAGGCGTGCAAATCCAACACGTCACTTCTGGAAGATCAAGGACCTGGCTTTCTTCGTTGAAAAGCTCGAGTAGAGAGCAAGGAGAAGAGCGGTGCACTGAGCGCAAAAGTAAAGCACTGCGTGGAAGGACCTGGCTTTCTTCGTTGAAAAGCTCGAGTAGAGAGCAAGAAGAAGATCAGCGCACTGAGCGCAAAAGTAAATCACTGAGCGGAAAAGTAAAGCACTGAGCGGAAAAGCAAATCACTGAGCGGGAAAGTACAGCACCGCGCGGAAAAGTATTGCACTGAGCAGAAAAGTAAGGCGCTGAGAGGCCGTAGGCAGAGAGAGATGAAAGGTCAAGCGTTGCAGGACCATGAGGAGGGGGGCAGTGAACCAAACCGAGGGAAGGACTGTGATACCTAAACGATATGAAACAAGAACCTGAGCAAGTTAGAGGATGGAAACTCCATTCATGTCACTGACATCGACATCCTTCCACTTGGCAAAGACCAACAGAAATAACTACCAAAACCAAAACCAGTTTGCGTATCTACGAAGCTTACCATACCAATAACACGCAATCAAATATCGTCAGGGAGACGGACTGCAAGACCCGACTAGCTCGCCGGGCCAGTTCAGTCAGTGTCCGCTTTGCAATCCTTGGGGAGAGCTCACCTCAACTTTGCGATCAAGGGTGACTCACTCAACTTTCGCAGTCGAGGGCCAATCACCTCCTGCATGCACACCCACCCACCCACCCGCTCACCAGCGTCAACTGCTTCTAGTCTGACTTGCAAATCGCAAACCCACCAGGTTCAAGACAGAAACTATGTTGCCAACTAACCTGCCACCTAGACACAACAAGAAGAGGGACATCCGGCTCCCACTATCCTCCCAGCTTCTTTCCCTCATCTTCATTTCCGTCTCATTTCCAGTAATTGAATAAAATGGTTGAAGATTCTCTCTCTCTCTCTCTCTCTCTCTCTCTCTCTCTCTCTCTCTCTCTCTCTCTCTCTCTCTCTCTCTCTCTCTCTCTCTC